AGCCCCGTACCGTATTCTTGTTTGGGTGTGATCACACCATGCCCATCTGGTGTGACACCCCCCTGTTACCAGGGTATGTGTAACCCCGTTACAACATTGATTGACAACATCGTAAAAATTTCGGTATGGATCAATTGTCTTCACAACATTAGGAAGCGAATCAATGTTGACGCAGATACAAAAGTTCACCAAGCGTCATAGACGGCATTGGAATCGGTAATTCTAACTGTGAAACTGAAGGATGAGCAAAGTTGGATACTTATTGGAGCTTGTGCCATCTTTTTCACGTGGTAGACTCGCAGCGCAACGAAGACATGCTAAAGTCGTTGACGAAGCGAGTAAGAGCACATGTTGTAGTACGCAGGCATGAAAATTCGCCAGACAATCGTTCTATCAAGAATCCTATTACCTCATTCAATTGTTCCGTTTTACAGGGTGCACATGTGTATAACAGTATGCGAAACACAGATCACAGTTTTGTGTAATTGTGCTATATACTTCTGAGCCAAATTACTGATACTGGTGAGGCCTTGAAGGAGATTCGTGGAAAATTATGGATTTGACTACTGTATCTGATTTGGTTGTACACAAACTTGACTTTCTGATTCTTTTGTCTCTGTCCAAAATATGATTTTCTCTTAAAAAATTTACCATTTCTCTTGACACATGGCTAAAATCCTTAATCGTGCCTCTTGCCTGAGATTAGAGATACAGTTCCGTATCAAATTTGATTGCATTTGCAACACGAAGATTGCAGCATAACTTTCTGCAAATCGCGAGGCATCTTTAAATATCATGTCAATGATGCTCATCCCGCAAGCTCTAAAACCTTCTTCCTCCTTTCGCCGCTTCATAGCGACCGCCACACACACGTATCCATCTACACCATCTCCTGCCTTTCCCAATGAATATGCACACGCTAAGATCGTGACGACTCAAGTGCCTGGTCCAAAATCGCAGCAGCAGCTAGAGCGTCTTGCTGTGCTACAAAACACTAGTGCAATCAACTTTTTCGTCGACTATACGGCCAGCAGAGGCAATTACCTCGTCGATGTAGATGGAAATCGTTTTTTAGATGTCTACGGCCAGATTGCATCCTTGCCCATTGGCTATAACCACCCTGCAATCCTCGAGGCGATGAGTGACAAGCACAACCTAGCATTGCTAGCCCAACGACCTTGTCTCGGCGTCTTTCCACCTTCTGACTGGGTCGATCGCATCAATGAGACTCTACTCAAAGTGCTTCCAGATGGGCTCGACGACGTCAATACACTTATGTGTGGCTCATGCTCAAATGAAAATGCTTTCAAAGCTGTTTTCATTTGGTTTCAGACCAGGCTACGAGATGGCCGTCCACCTTCGGCGCACGATCTTGAGACGTGTATGGCTCATCAATTACCTGGCACTCCCAAGTTAAGTATCCTTTCCTTTGATGGAGGATTTCATGGTCGATTGTTGGGATGCCTTTCAACAACTCACTCGAAAGCTATTCATAAAGTGGATGTTCCAGCTTTCGATTGGCCAGTAGCACCATTTCCAAAACTAACGTATCCGCTGAATATTCATCAAGCTACAAATGAAGCGGAAGAAGCGCGGTGCTTAGAAAATGTCGAGAGATTACTTAAGCACAGTTCTAACGTGACCAAGCCTGATGACTCTCGTATTGCTGGCATGATAATTGAGCCGATTCAAGCAGAAGGAGGAGACAATCACGCTAGTCCTGCATTCTTTCGTCAACTGCGCGACCTTGCTGCTAACTATGGCGTGGCATTTATTGTCGACGAAGTTCAAACTGGTGGAGGTAGCACGGGCAAATTCTGGGCACATGAACACTGGGGTCTTGAGAACCCACCAGATCTTGTGACGTTCAGTAAAAAGATGCAAACCGGCGGCTACTTTGCCAAAAAAGAGTTTCGTCCAAAAGAAGGGTACCGCATTTTTAACACGTGGATGGGAGATCCAACTAAAATGATCGCCCTTAAAACGGTACTTGACGTGATCGAACGCGAGAACCTCCTTGAAAACGTTAACGTCACCGGTGATTATCTCAAGACCGGACTGCACGAAGTTGCTGCCAGCTTTCCAGCACTTGTGTCTAGCGTACGTGGTCAAGGAACGTTTTTGGCCATGGACTTGCCGACGGAAGCATTGCGTAACAAATTTCTTCTTCTCATGAAAAAAAATGGTATTGCATCGGGAGGCTGTGGGGTAACTTCAGTGCGATTTCGTCCGGCCCTCGTATTTCAGCCAAAACATGCGGTTGAGTATTTGGTCATGATGCGCGAGGTCTGTAGATATCTAAGCAAGTCGTAATGAACTTTTGAGTACACAAAGCAGTATACATACAATAAACACATCTGATGTGCGTATTGTTAATCATCGTGTAAAAATGTAGCAATCAGACCGACTTTTGGCAAGAGGCACGTATTTCAAGTGTCTAGACAAAAGAGCGACACGTAATTTTATCGGAAGTCAGCGTCAATGAGTGTCAGTATCAAGGTATCGGTTCGTTGTCGACCATTTACATGTGATGACAAGTTGGGCGTCGTGATGACGCAAAATGGTGAAGAAGAAGGAGATGTGGAACTAATCAATTCAACGTACTCCACTACGAGATTTCCATTCAGCTACGCATGGTGGAGTGCTTATGGCTATAAGCGGCACATTCAGGGCGATACAAAACAAGCTGATAAAATGACGCTTGTTGACCAACAAATGGCATATGATAGCATTGGACGTAAAATCAAGCTTGACCTCATAGGAGGCAATGCTGTTGTTCTCTTTGCTTACGGTCTCTCGGGCTCTGGAAAAACATTTACTGTCTTTGGGGTGGGTCTCATTTAATACAGTAATTCTCAATAGCCTGCATTCGCCCAAGCGCTAAGATTTATTGCAATTGTTTCACCAGCCTGATGCTGTAGATCTTCCCGAAGCATGGTTCAAACATGAAAATCCTCATCCAATGGTACGAATTTCAGCAACTTACAACAAGATTTGTGGCTGCTAATTCCTCAATTACCTCTTCTAGTGGGGAATCTTTCCTCGTTTAGCCTACGAATTGTTTAAGGAAAAGCAGGATGGCTGGAAAATCTCTATGAAATACTTTCAAAACGTTGTGGACACTGTGCGGGATCTCATGTCTCCAGTGGCTCAAGAACAACAATACAAGTCAGGCATGCGCAAAGACCCGGACGGATTTACTGATATCGAATGGTGTCAATCGGTTGTTCTTAAGGACTGGAATGACTTGCGGAAAACGTTTATGGTCGCAAATGCGAAGAAAGCGATTGCACCGACGCAATTTAATCATCAATCAACACGTGGTCATTGTATCATGACTCTTGAAGTCGAGAAACCGGATCCAGAACGTGAGGGTATGAAACAAAGAGGTCGTGTCTATGTGTGCGATCTTGCCGGTACAGAACCTGCAGGGGACATTGTTTACGCCGATTACAAGAAAATTGTGTTTGAAAATGGAGAAATTGAGCATAAGTACGTCGGTCCTCACCCAGATGCGTCAAAATCGAAAGAATTACAAGATCAAGGGAAGAAGATCAACTTGTCACTTACTGAAATGGCACAATTTTTTATGAAAATGGCCGAAGCGGTGAAAGCAAATAAACTTAAACCCGGTGTTTCGATTCCTGGATGTAATTCGTACTTCCTGTGCAAGTATTTGAAAGATACAATGTTACAAGCTCGAACATATCTCTTTTGTGCAATTCGTCCCGAAGTCAAATTTCACGGCTATACTTTCTCCACTCTAGGCTTCGCTAAAAATGCCTCCGTTATTAAGCTTCAACCAAAAAAAGCGTCAACTGCTGCAAGTCCTGCAGAACGGAAGCTCATGGCTGAGTTGGAACAGATGAAAGCACTTGTGAATCAATTAAAGCATGAGAATGAACAGATCGCAAAGACAAGACGTTCTGCCGAATCTGACGACGAGAATGCTGAAGGTGATGATGCAGCTAATGAACAGGTCGCGCGATTGGCAGAAATGCTTAATCAGAAGCAAAGAGAACTTGAAAATGTGTTGAATGGAGGTAAAGGGGGAGCAAGGGGTGGATTAAGTGTGCAAGATGAATTGATGCAACGTCAGCGCGAAGAGTATGGTAAACGTGGCATTCATTTGTATCACTTTGAAGCTGATACATCATCTCCATATTTAATTAATCTCGATGTCGATGCGTATCGGTCCAAGAGATTTATGTTTTTACTGGACAGACCTCACTTATCAGTAGGCCCTTGTGGAGATATCCAACCAATGTCGCTCAGCATTGTAAAAAATCATTGTACATTCGAAAATGATGGACACGACATTTATCTTTGTGCTGGTGATGGAGAAGCTATGCATAATGGCAAGAAGGTTGAGAAAATGAAGCGGATACAACTTGTGCCTTACGATCGTGTCGTACTTGGTAATGAGTTGATGCTTTTCGTATACCCAGGTCGCGAGCCAGATAGGGAGCCACCATCGGCTGATTTTGCCGCTACAGAGTACAAAGAAGCACTTCAGACTATTGATACTTCTGCACTTGATGAACTACAGAATCAGATCAAACTGTTTGAAGAAGAGAAAGCACGTTGGGAAAAGGAACGGCTGGAGAGAGAAGCTGCGGCTGAAAAGGCAGTCAAAGCTACAATGAGTCCGAATGATGCATCAAGCTCTGCTGCGGCTGAAGCTGCGGTCGCTGAGAAATTAGCAACAGCAAAAGCAGAAGAAGAAGCTCGACTAGCCACAGAAAAAAGACGTGAGCTTCTGGCTAGACAGGTGAATGACCAGGAACTTCGGGAAGTACTGCCGAAAATTGCAGAGCTCACACAGATCGTCAAGCTGTTAAATCGCGATTATCTCAGCTTTGAGACAGCTTTACAGAGCTCATCAATGGAAGAAAAAGATGAAAGTGGCCTCAGTGGTATTCCAAAAGTCAAGGTTAAAGTTCACAATAACGCTACAGACGAAACGATCTTTTTGGATGTGTTTGAGTTCGTGAAAGCTCATGCACTTTTGAAGGACGAAGTCACCTTTCTTCGAAATGCGCTTATGAATGATCGAGAGTATGAATCACCAGCAGGGCGTGATCCAATCACTCTTCTTTTTGACAATTCCTTTCACGTTGGAAGTGCCACGACCTTTCTAGAGTATATATTATACAATCTAGAAACGGAGCCAGATGAGTCACAGCTCAGTATCAAACTTGCTATTCCACCGTTTAATACAATTGGTAAGCTGCAGGTGATCTGGACCCCGCTTTCGTCGCCAAACATAGAAGCACACAATGAAGACGATTTGATCGACATTGAAAATCCTCAAGATCTTCTTGGTAGATCTTGGACCTATAAGGTCCAAATTGTTGGAGCTACCGGCCTTCCACTGATTACAGATTTAGCGTATTGCCAGTATGAATTTCTTGGAGAACTCTTTACGACTGAAAGTGTTGAGCAAAGAACACGGAACCCTGTATTCAACTACGAATATGTTCACCACGTAAGCTGCGTCACTGAGCAGTTTCTTGAGTACCTTTCGAGTGCACGTCTGGAATTTCAAATATTTGTAAAGCCGTACATGCTCGATTTGCCTAAGGACAAAATTTCTACAAGAAATCCCGCAATTGCCACGCGGCTTGAACAGGGACATGCAGGTATGTCTCAGGACTTAGGATGTAGTGAACAATTAGTGAAACTTTGTTATGTTCAGGCAAACCAACGATTGAAGAACTTCAAACAGAGTGTGCGCGTTTGGAATTACATCTTGCAAACGTATCAGAAGATTTAAAGTTTCTGATCGAGCAATACCGGATTGATGTCGGAAGGTTGGCGAATGATTCTTGACGCTTCATGAAAACATACTTAAATGCTGTTCTATGTAGAGATCCCCCCACACGCCCTCAACGGATCGAAAACGATCTTGAACATGTCGATGGTCTTGATCATGCTTGTACAAGCCAGACTGACCTCGCACCTTGCACACCAAGGCAAAAGATTGAATCAGCTAAAGCGGATGATAGCCGTCTAAATGGCTAGAGGAGGGACTATAGCCCTCTGTCTAACTACAAGATTATCGACAGTTTTTCATACAAAACATTATAAATCAATAGTTCCTTGCAGTTTCAGGAGCCATATAATTAGGGCCACCAAGTTGTTGCTCTTGCTGTGCATATCTTTAGAAAAGCAGTTCACATCTGCCTTCTTACTTGCTGGAGCTGTTTTTGTACGTGGCCTGGAGCTGTTTTTGTACGTGGCCTTGGGTATAGTAATAATGTCAACGTCTCGAGTTCAAATTGAAGACATTAAACTGGAGGTGAGAATGAGGCACTCAATCATGTCTGATCGAATATTCGTTAAGGGTAATTTTGCTTGCTAGATTGACCGAAAGGTATCAAACATACCGAAAGTCACTACTCTGTCATCTTCGCCGAAACATCAAAGCGACATCAGTGATAATGTGAACACACGCACTTCACTGAACATACTAATTGCATCGTGGAATATGGGGAATACGATGCCACCCAGCGACTCAAAACTATTAAACGACTGGATTCCAGAGGGTGGTGGCGACTTTGATGTCATAGCACTGGGATTGCAGGAAAGTACTTATAAGAGTGACAAAATCTCTGAGAATTTGGTAACGGATAGCTGGTCTGCGGCTAGTGAAGAGCAAGACGAAAGGTGTTCATCTGTACCGAATAGTGTACTTCATGACACTGAAGTGTACGATGTGGATGAAGAAGAGGAAGAGGAGGATCTCGAAAGCGAAGTTAAACATGAGTTAAAAAGCAAAGAAAGTGATGATCAAAATGGTGCCAATAAATCTTTGGACGTTATTGTTAAGCGGTCACGTACGAAGAAATCTATGCGTAAGATGACTAAGATGGTGCGCAAGTTAAGCAGCAATTTGCGCGACTCGATAGGAGATGCCTTAGACTATCCGTTCAGCAAACAAATTTATCTACATCTTGGTGAAAGCTACGTTTTAGCTGGAAAAGTCGAGTTAATGGAAATGCGTTTGTTTGTTTACGTTCACGAGCGCAACAATGTTTGTGATGTTGAAAAGCTGGCAGTACCAACAGGTTTAGGAAGCGTTATAGGGAATAAGGTATTAATCTGTGTAGCCACATGCAAGGACTCTGTCCGATTACTAAGGCTGTTTTATATCAGGGTGGACTTCTACTTAAGTGTGTTGTTCAGAACACATCGCTTTGCTTTGCTAGTTGCCATTTGGCTGCGCACCAAGATCAAAAATTTCTTGACAAACGGAACACAGATGTACGTAATTGACTCTAGCTATGCTCTTCCGACCATTTCATTATATCGCAAATGTTAGTGCTCAACGATTCTCGGAGCGCAGTTTGGACAAAAGAATGTGTCGATTGACAATCAATTTGATCATTGTTTCTGGTTTGGCGATTTAAACTACCGACTGGATCTCAGTTACTCGACTCCACGTCAGCGCACTCATGAAATTCATTGTGCTGAAATCATGACCCTTATACGTGCGAAGAAATGGACTACAATGAATCAAAATGACCAACTTAAACATCAAGTTGATGAAAAGAAGGTGCTTTCTGGATGGGAATTACCTCTGGCTTTATTCTCGCCAACTTTCAAGCGAGTTCGTCACACTCTAGACGAGTACTTGGTGAGACTTTGAAAGATCGTTATATGATCTCTCCTGCAAATTTAGATTTAATATTTTTTTGTTTAGTTGGAGCGCGTACCATCCTACTGCGACCGTATCTTGTATAAATCGTTACCGGGACTACGAGACAACCTTCAGCTTTTGCGATTTACTTGTGATGAATCAATCGCTACAAGTGATCACAAGCCTATTTCCGCTTCTTTTCAAGTTGTTCAAACACCACAACTTCATTTGAGCTCAATTGAGAATTCAACACTTGTTGAACTTTCGGACTTTTCCGGGAAAGGTCTCGTAGGGCTTGATCTAGCTGGGCTTAGTGATCCATACGTCAAATTTTACTCGGTTCCAGGCAATGCATTACAGCTAGACACAAGTGGAAGTCATCCGAGTACATCTACAATCTCGAATACTTGCTCACCAATGTAAGAAGTGTTTGGTTTACTCAAGTGTTTGACAATGTATCCTATACAACTCTTTGGGTTCGTAGGTGGCGAGATGATCAAGTACCTAGGCTACATGTATTGTGCGATAATGAGCGTGACGTGAAAGGTGTTCATTTAACTCTTGTTGTGATGGATCATGACTCTACTTCAAAAGACGATTTAATGGGTAAATTCATACTTTCATCTATCAATTTCTTTAAAGTCTTTTGATAACATAATTTGGATACTTTGGTAGGTGTTGCTTCGTTGTCGTTGGGTAAATTTACCCAAAGCCGACCACGCTTTATTCCATTTGAGGTTCCTGTTGCGTTAAATGGCAAAGCTGCAGGAATTCTTGCTGGCAGAATTCGCGTCACACTTCCTGGTCAAGTTACATTTCTCGAAGATGAATCTAGACCTCAATTGATTCGTGTGGCCGGATGCCATTGTACTCTTTCTTAAAGCACCTACTTTTCAAATTCAAACATTGAGATTTGGAGAAGAGCTTTATTTATCTTTTCACTTCACTAGATTTGACTATTTAGTGTGAAGTAAGAGCAATCTCTAATATTCTTAAATCGCTTGCTGACTCGAAATGTCCAGTCGCATTACAGCGATTGGCTGCATCATATCGCATCCTCGAGCCTGATATTGGAAACATTTCTATTTTTCGACCCATAAGTGTCTTTCACACAATTACATTTTCAGATGCCTCCTCATCGCCAGCATCCCGCTGAGTTCCGTCTGGAGCTCGATCTTAATGACAACGCGAGTAAGGCAGATACCATTGCTCAGCAATTACCACCCATATCAGATGGATGCTCTCGATTATATCTCTGCCGTCACGGTCAGACAGGTCTGTCATTTACTGTCGTTATAAACAATGAAAGCAGACTAAAATGATTTGTTTGTCATCTCTTTCTAGACTTCAATTTACAACGCAAGATCCAAGGTCGTGGTGTCAACATGCCACTGAACATCGAGGGAATAGAACAGGCTCAGTTTTTGGCCAAAGCTATGAAGGACGTGCCTCTTGTCGCCATATATAGTAGCTCATTAGAACGCGCGATTCAGACGGCGGACGCAGTTGCTCACCATCATCCTGAAATGAAAGTTCAGTCTTTTGACGAAGTAGAAGAAATGAATTTTGGACAGCTAGAGGGTCAACCAATGATAATGCACGAAGATCAACTTCGTACCATGTACAAGCGGTGGGAACAAGGTGAAATTCGTGCTGCGTGGCCGGGAGGGGAGAGTCCATTGGATGTCGTAAATCGCGGTGTTAAGAAAATTACTGAAATTGTCAGTAATACACCACCCAAGAAGCAAGTTCTCATGGTCACACACGGTCGCTTTAACAAAATTGTGCTGGCTCAAATGCTTCAGGGCGAATTGACCAATATGACCAAGATTGATCAAAATAACACGTGCGTTAACGTCATTGACTTTGACCACGCTACGCAGACATATCACGCTGTGGCGCTCAATAACATTAATCACTTACCTGAGCCGCCCTCAGTTTAGATGTCTTAAATTTGTAAATATATCAATCGAGCATGAGGAGGCAAATTTTTGAGAAACGATTGTATTGTAATCAAAACCAAATGGACAGCTCAACGCAGCAATTTAGCTGCGTCTTTGGATTAAAGTATATACTAAAGTCGAGAAATCTAGTGCCTGATTCATGCATGAGCGTGATTGTAATAAATTTAAATACATGAGAGCATTAGAATTACCTGTTTGGAGATTTTTGAAGTAGTCCAATACAAGCAATTGCTATAGAAATTGCATCATTATGCATAAATTGTCATCGATGCCGTGCAACATTCAAACGATATTGCTAGCATCGTTAATTCAGTACATCGATATACCCTCATTTTAGCGCTTACCTTGCTTCCGCAAATGTACTCTACTAGCTGCA